TAAGATTAAATTTTTAATTCCCCTTATATACTTAGGTGCTTTATTACACAAATTATTACTCACGCATTTCTCTATTTTCTTTACATATCCTTTTCTTATTCAATTTTATTAATTGCTCTACATATTTCATTTAATTTCCAAAAATCTCATTTTTCTATGAAAATTAAATGAAAAGTAATGAATTTAAACAAAAAAACAAATTTTCTTTGTGTTAAAAATCAAAAAAATTCATTTTAATTTAATTTTATAAATTAAATTAAATTTCTTTCATTTAATTTATAATAAACGCTCGACAACAAAGTACAAGGCATACGAACTGACATACAACATAAGTTATGATATTCCGAGAAGACAACAATCACAAAGGAAAATTTCATTGTCATATACAAAAATTTATTAAATAAAAAAGAAACCATTTTTTATCACATATCGTAAAAAACAAAAAAAAAAAATAATTTATTTTTATAGCGTGATTAATGTAAAACGTTTTCTTTATTAAAAATTAGTGAAGAGAATTAAAAAAAAAAAACAAAAACTTTTATGAGTCATTTATGAAGCAATTTTGTTATTTTTTTATTTTTATTTCAAAATAATTATATAAATTGTAAAACAATGAGTACGAGTAATACAAAAATATCCTGTCTACCATTATTATTTTTTCTTTCATTGTATTTGTAGAAGAAATTTTCTCTTTGTTATTTTTGTTTTTTTTCTTGTTTTGTTGGATTTAACGAACATTGCACTCAAATGAATATGTATATATATGAAAAATTCATATTTTGTAATTGTATAACAGAATGATTTATTGTACTTACATACATACATATGTATATACATGCATATATATGTAATTTGTATTTGAGTATGTAATTTTTGTGTTCTTTTCTTATATTTTTCAAAAATTTAAAGCCAATTACCAAATTACCATAAAAATAATTTCATTTAGTATATAAAAAAAAAAAAAAAAAAAAATAGCAATAAAATTTTCTAATAATTCAAAAATTTATTGCAAATAAATCCTTGAAAAGGATAAAGAACAATTTATAGCTTCTCATTTTATTTACCTGTCGCCTATTTTACATTATGGTTTAAAAATTTTTTTTAAATAAATTCGTGTATGCACATTTTTTTAACTGATTCGGGCACAGTTTTCAATTCATTTTATTTGTAAATTCATTTATTATGTGTTCACTGGTAATTGTGCCCATACAAATTGCAAATTATAAATTAGACTTGAGAGCTCTAATTGAAAAACATGGCATTGAATTGTTTGAATAAAATGAGAAGGTGGAATTCTGTATACCACAATATTTTATTCACCAAATGAGAGGAAAGTAAATGAATATTACAAATTCAAATGTTATAATTTTCAACTACTGAGAGTATATTATATCTCATTTATTATAGACAAACACCACTTTTTTCAAAAATATTGAAAAAAAAATTCTCACTAACTATTTTTTTGATCACTTTGTTTTGTACTCGTATATAGAGACAAATTTAGTCGGAATATCTTTAACCACATTTCAAATCACGAAATATCTTTGTTCTAATTCAAATCTAAAATGTTATATTGAAATTCAGGAGAAAAATACCATATTTTTTAAAAAAAATTCACCACACCATCAATTAAAACAATACTAAAACAAATTATCAAATAAAATAGCAAAACTTAATCATTCTGTCCTATATATACATTTTGAACCCCAAAATATTTCATGTATGTGATGTGGGGAGTTCACACGTTAATTCATATACAAGATGAGAATATGAATCAAAGAATTTAAGATAAGGCTTTAAAAAGTTTTCATAAAAATATGCTTTTCTCATATGTTTTTTTTTTCCTCTCACTTCTGAAATTTATTCCAAGTATAGAGTAACAAATTTCTGTGTAATCCACCATCAACCGACCGGTTCATAGTATCCATATTTATTTCATATATACCTTAGCATTAACATTAAACATTTAGATTTAAAATAAACGAAGGTGGATGTGTGTAAGTAATCAAAAGTAAAGGGACTGAAAGCAAAAAATTCCATTTTGCGTGTTTTAAAGTTTTGTTATTTTATTATTATAACATTGTTATTGTTGTAGGGAAAAAAAATATTGTTTGCACGGGGTGAATAAATAATTCTCTATGGTATTAAGAAAGAGAATAACAAAAACAAAAACTTTTTTCCACATTTTTTTTTTTTTCATATCGAATGGGGAATGGGTATGAGATAAAATTCTTCACCCCTTTTCATTCACTTCACCTTTACTCACAGTGTTCTCTTTGTAAAACACAAAAGATTTTATGACGTCGTGTCGTTTTCTGGAAAATCTAAATTTAAAGAGAGAGAGAGAGAGAAAGAGAGAGTAGAAAAAAAAAATAACAAAAATATTATATTATTTTAGACTTAATATAAATATGTGTTAGTGTACTGATAATTGGTGTGTTAGAGTTTGCAACAACAATGATAATGGTGTTTGGCAGTATAAACCAAATTTAAATAGAACCAAAAAAAAAAAAAAATATTTAAAAAGACAAAAGAAAATTTCATGAATTTTTGAATCGAAATTTTCATTCTAAATTTTTTTTTTCTTTTTATTTTCGACTCTTTGCTCCTTTTGACTCCTTTTTTTTTTCTCAATTTTTTTTTTTATATTTTTGATATGCGAATATTTTTTTTAATGCTTATGGCAAATGGTTTGAATATTTTTCGATTTCTATTCTTTTATAATAATAATTTTTGGGTGTTGTTGACACCAGATTTTAAATTTTATTTTTCTTTTTTTTTTTTATTATATTTTGAGAGAAAAACAAAAGAATTCGATTTCTGTGGCTGTTACTAATTGGTTTTCGATTGCTTTAAATAATGTGAAAAAAGGTTTTTATTTGTTGTTTTTTTCCGAAAAAAAAAGAGAATTAGCAAAACAATATTCCATATATACTTGTAGTATGGGGTTGTTATTGCTAGAGGCTTATTATAAATGGCATATTGTTATATAAGTGGGTACAAAACTCTCATATCTAGATATAAATATAATTTTATAGTTTATAGAAAGAGAAAAAAATCGTTATATACAAAGTGTAGAATCATAGATATTAAAGTTATCGAATGGAATAAGACGGCATATACTCCGGGTCAGCACAGCCATTCGTGGCTAATTACAGCCCCTACATTTTCCTACCTATAATCTTCCTTTCCAAGCACGAAACATGAAATATTAGCAAAGAAATAAGACAGCAGTTTCCGAAAGCTCAACAAAACCCTGCGCAAGAAGTGCAATATCTAAAGTATTGTTCTTTCGCTTTTAAAAGTAAGTCTTTAAAAATGACTCTTTCATGGGTAGAACTGAAAAATTTGCCATTTAAAATTAGAAATCTTTAGTAATTACATGTTTACAATTTAAACCGGTTTTTACTTCAAGATTATCCAGCAATTTTTAATTTTTACTTCTGTCATTTCGGCTCAAGAGTCAAATTTTATTCATTCATATAAGTATGATGACTACATTCCGGTATGCACTAAATTGGGAGAAAAATGAAGCTGCATAACATTAAATTTTATTTCATATTTTTTCAGATAAACTCTCATATTTATACACAGAAAAAAATTTAATAAAAATGTGGTAAATTTTTTTTTATTTCAAAAAACCGTGTATATATAGAGAATGCATTTATAAAAAAAAAAAAATTAACGTAGAGGATTAAATGAATACACGTGTACTTAGTAAAGTATTATAATAATAATATTATAAAATATTATTAACAGATCTCTCTACCCATTTAATGGTATATGAAATGGTTAAAAACAAAAACCACATTTTAATTATTACACAAAAATTATGTCCCTTTTTTTTGCATATTTAATACCTTTGTTGTTTTGCATTCATTTTATAATATTAAAAGTATGTTTAAATTTACAATATTTTTAAGTATTTAATAAAAAAAAAAAAAAAAAAAAACAAGAAAAATATAAAAATTTTTTGAATAATGAATTTTAATAATAATTATGCAATATGTAGCTGCAAAAAAAAATTGTTAAAAAAACAGATGCTGTTATTCACTTTTCTACATAAATATGAGAATTTTATACTTATGGTAACAAAAATATTAAAGTATCATGAACCAAAACATAATGACCTTATCAGTCCGTTTACGTATTTAATTACAATGGAAGTTAATTACTATATAAACTATTTTATATACTGTTGGAATATAAATATATTATGTACATGAATTTTTATATCACAGTCGATTAATTAAATTTTCATATACAATCATATATAGTTATTGTGCATATTTTACATATTAACTCTTCCATATTCAGAAAAACAAAAATTATGTTACAAATTATCATATAGAATTTCATAAATTTAATGTATTGAGACATAAAAATTATAATTGATTTAATATAAATTTAATATTTTTAATTTAATATGACAAAATAATTTAGTATTCTATTAAGTAATTATTAAAATATATAATTAGACCAGAGAACAGTTTTAAAACCTTACAGAGTTGACCCAAAGAATTTAATATACTCTTTTTTTAAATTAATTGTAAAGCAATAATAAAATCTACTATTCAAATAATTTTCTCCTATTCTCAAAACACATTGGAATTGCTTTCAATAAATTGTAATTCAAAATTGTTATACTTAGCAAATACATTTCATTGAACCCATATATTTGTGTATATGCATAAGAAATTTAATTTCTTTATTATTTTTCTACTAGATTTTATTTATTATTAAATACAAATAGTCAAGTATTTTAATTATTTTTAAATTGAAAATTAAAATATGGAAAACTGATAAACAAATTATTTAGTAAAAGTATAATTATATTGCGTCTTTGGCCTAGGTACGAGTATTATAGAATTGTATAATAAAATATAATAAACATTACTATGGTTAACCAATTATTATATTAAATTATTTATATAATAATATTGAATAATTATATTATATTATAAAAATTTCATTATAATATTTTTGTTTTTTCATTTCAGGTAAGCAAATATGAAATTTATGGGCGTAAAAGCTTCAAAATTTGAAATTACATCTTTTACTTTTATAACTAAATGAAAATATTAAGGTATTTTAATTTTAAATTTTTATTAAATTCATAGTTTTGTATTATTATAATAATTATAATTATGTAATTAACTAGGTTCATCAAATTTCTTAACCTCTAAGCTGAGAAATTGAGCGTATTACAGGAAAAATATGAATAAATGTCGCCTAAATGTATGCAATTTTTTAGATTTTTTTTTTTAAATTGAATCAAATATTTAGTGAATTACCTATTTCTTTCTTTTACAATTTATTAAATTTAAAAAATTAATTTATGATAATTTCCTTAATTTTTGACAATTTATTTATTTATTAGATTTTGTGACAATTTTATTAGTCTCAAATATATAGAACTCTAAAAATATATATTTTATAAATGCATTATTAAATTTTTTTACGAAAGAACCTGTTAATATTTATAATTATATGCTAAATGTCAAATTTAAATGTCATATTGTGACAATTAATTGAAAATGTTTTACAATTCAAAATTAGAAAAAAAAATTTTTATTTAATTGGCGATCTGTTAATATGAAGTATAACATAATAATTATTGACATAATAATTTTTAATATGAACAAATTACATAATTATATATAAAAAATTACATTAAACATATAGTTATTAGATTATTTTCAACATAAATGAAATATAAGATTATTGGAGAGATTATTAGATAAATTAAATAAAAATTGTTTTCATTGCATTTATAAATTAAATATATTTGTTATATTTATGAAAATATAATAATATTAAATTTACATGTATATATAATTCAACATATATACATGTATACTCTAAACATTCCTATATAAATTTAATTTAAAATAAATTTACATAAATGTCAATAATTCGACCATGTCTCTATAATATAATTTTTCTTTTCTTCTCTATTATTTTTCTTTCCCTGTTTTTTTCTTATGTACATGCTTATCATTTCTCCCCACCAATCTATCCTATATTATACTATCTTTTTCACTCAACATTTTCTTTCTTTCTATCTCTTATGTTTTGTTTTCTTTTACTTCTTTATATATATTTTATTCCAATTTTTCCGTCATTGTCATTTATTCTTGAATGTTTTGACATTCTATTATCCTGACTGTCTGTATGTTATGTAAAATATAAGAATAATATTTAAGTATAAATTGGAATCTAAAGCGATGTTATGTACATAAGTACATAGTATATTTATGTACATGCATATGTAAATACAAGAAGAAGAAGAAGGAGAAGAACATATAGTCGTCGTAATACGCGACGTAGTTTCTTTTCCATTTTATTATGTTACTTGTTTCTTTTATATATGCTTCAGTTTTTTTCCTTTGTTTCACATTATGTTTGTTGCCGTTTGTTACCGTTATATGTTGTTATGTTGATTTGACAAAAAAAAAAAAAATAGAAAATTTGCTTTATTTTATATATGAAAAAATTCACACAATTACATGGCCACCATATATACAAATAGGACAGAAAGGAAGAGAGCTAGTAAAAGACACAAGAGCGAAATAAAGTGAAAATATAAGAAGAAGAAGAAAAAAAAGACAAAATGAAAATGTTTCTTTCTTTCTTTCTGCCTTGTGTATTTCTTTTTTTCATTTTTATTTTTCCTTGTTTTTCTTGTTTTTCTTCTGAAGAAATAAGAATTATTTAATTTTCTTGTTTTCTTATGTTTCTCTCTTGCTTTCTTTGTTATTTCTTCTTGTTTTCAACGTTTTTACATTATTTTTTTGTTGTAATTTAGTTTAAAATGAAAACGACGACAAAAAAAAAAAGAAACGAGAAACAAAAATGAAAAAAAAATTTTTTGAGACAGAAAAGAGAAAATCTCATGTTAGTTGTTAGCGAGGGCATAGACAATCAGCTTTAAATTCTTAATACCATTAATGTATGTAAGTACGTATGTAAATATGTATGTACAAATGTATGCAAAAATTTATATAGATATTTATATAGAGATGAAAAACGTAGAATTATACAAAACGGTTTTTAACATGAAAATATTTAAAAATTTCTTGGAATGTAAATGAGAAAAGTTTTTATGTACTCAGTATATATTGATATATGAAAATTATCGAAAACAGATTCATATACATGTACATATAATATCCCAGTCAACAAAGAATTGGAAAAAATAAAGGATTGATTACGGGGAGTAATTGTATATTTCTTTGAATTTTTGTAAAGTTTTTGGAGTTTAAATTTTTAATAGTATATAGAGCAGCATAGCATACATATACTTATGCAAAATTCCAATTACTCTTTTCAATTTTTTTCAAATTCTAATTATTGTGTAATATTTTGATGTAATAGCCGCCAATAAACTTTCACTTTATTTAGCAGACATGTAAGTGGCTGTCATCTCATAAATAACATCACGGCACGAGCACGAGCTGCTTTTAGACATTACCATGATTTGTATAAATTACGAGTACATTAAAAAATTTTTTTCAGTGTGTGTATAGTTTTTGCGAATTTATACATGTGCTCTAGAAGAAATTTAAACATATATTCCAATTAACAGATATAAAATAAAATTCCTAAATTGTCACAATTTATATACACACTTACTAAATAAATCTACATATACAATATACGTATGCATATAAATAATTAATTCGCAGATACATACGTAAACATATCAAATACATAGTATGTAAATGCACATATGTATTTATATAAGATAGAAAAATAAATTTGAAATAATTTAAAAAAAAAACTTTGTCAAAATATTAACAGTGTATTTTATATAAGAGCTTTCAATTTATATGATAGATGCTGTGATGACAACTGCAAATCATCAAAAATCTCTTGTCAAATTGTCTGTTCTTCTTTTGTTTTTTTATTTTTTTTGTCATAATACTTGCAATTTGTGAATTTTTACTGTCATTATGGTAATAAATTCAAATATATATGTATTGTATACGATGAAGTGGATATTGCATTTTGTACATAAAAAAATGAAATAATTTTCGTGGACATAAAATGGAAGTATTTTTATACCCGTATAAGAACTTGTGTTCGAAAGTTATCATAAATTTGCCTTACCTTTTGTAACACTAAAAAATAATTGTCTGACATATAGACTCAAGTGTATTTTTTTGATCAGCGTCGAATTCTGAGTCGATTTCTTCATGTCTGTCAATCAAGTGTCGAACAACTTCAAAAGTTTTTTGGCATTATCTCAGAAATTTCTCGCAAACAGGTATGTATATTATTTGTCTTTACTTGTGGTGATAGCTACTATACAACTTCGAAAGTCATTTGGTTGCATGTTAAAGAAACTATATTTAAATTACAGTGCTGAAATTATTACACAATATGGAAATATGGTCATTATTTTCAGTAAAATATGATATGAGTTTATATGATAATTGCCATATATAATATAACATTATACTGTTACCTGACAAATGTAAAGTGTCACCTGTCAAATGTAAACTGTTACCTGTCATTTGTGAACTGTCATCTGTCAACTGTCATCTGTCACCTGTCAAATGTAAAGTGTCACCTGTCAAATGTAAAGTGTCACCTGTCAAATGTAAACTGTCACCTGTCACCTGTCAAATGTAAAATGTCACCTGTCAAATGTAAACTGTCAACTGTCATCTGTCAACTGTCATCTGTCAACTGTCACTTTTTAAATATCAAAATATATCTAATGTCAAATGTCAAATTGCTCTTAATAGAGATTCGTTTTGTACCATTCGGATTAAATGAAAAGTTCCCCAATAAGATATGAATATAACTCAAATAGTTCCCCAATATGTAGAATACATAACAAAATTATTGATAAAGTAAACCATACAATAATACGACTTCATTAATCTGACAGTTTTCTACCATATCAATGCTAATTAATTATAATTAGCATTGATAATTCTAATATTAAACCATTCTAATTCTAATATTAAACCATTCATATATGAAAAATCACAATATTCTTCAATAAAAATTATTATAAATTAGCTTCAAATGAAATAATCTAGGCTAATATTCAACATCAATACTTTATACATGCATAAGTACCGTGATCTCTTTGATATTTCATATTGTTTTTATTCCTGAGTTTTCTATATTATATGACATTTAATATACTTGCCATATTTATTATAATATCCTATATCAAAACATTTGTTTCTTAAGAAAACGTTTCTCAAATCACAACATTATAATTGATATACTTTACTAAATATACTTTTCAAAATTATAGACATTTATGACATTTTTCTATCGCATTTGCTTTATAATGCTCTTAGAATCTTCAAGAAATTATATAGTATACGGAATAACAAAAGAAATTTCTCGATCCTTTTTAATATTTTTCTTTTTCATATAGGAAATTAAAAATTGTATATAATTACATATATTATTACATAGAAGTGATTAGTTAAGTATATGTATATTTGGTGTGAATCTTCTATACATATACAAGTATACTGTATTTATAAATAAGTAAGAGTGATCAATAAAAAAAAAAAATTAAAAGTAACATATAGAATTCGGAATATTTTTATATTCGTAGGAGCAATCAATATACAAGTACGTGATCCTTAAAAATATTTCCAATTTGTCTTTATAATATATTAAGTAATAAAATGATTGTTATTCCATTTGTAATGTTGAACTTTAATTTTGCAAAATTTGTTGCAAAAATTTGTATGTTTTTTAAATTTAATACAGGGGCGGTTACAATTTTTATTATAAATATTGTGAGCCCTTACAGCCTAAATATTAATATCGAGCAAAATTATATACCGAATTGTAAAATTTTGACAAACTACAAAATGTTATATTTGATCTTTATGTCATCGATTCCCGCGCCTACATAAAAAACAATCGCTAGTTTTCATCATGCTAAAGACCATTTTCATCAAAAATAATTTTTTATTTCTCTCCCATACTTTTTAAATGTCTCACAGTTGCATTGAACCAAAAAAAAAATTATTTTTCTTTAGAAAATTCTTTTTTTTTTTTTATTTAATTCTTGTGCACTTTACAAGGATTTTAAAATATCAGGATTCAAAGTAAAAATAAGTTTTATATTTTTGCTGTCGTTTTCTTTCTCAAAATTTCCACTGTTTTCATTTCTTTTTTCTTTTTTTTTGTATATCATTGCTTTAA